ACATGTGAGTTTATATTGACATCATTGTTATATATGTAAGCTCATATTGGCATCATTGTTAAGCACATAAGTTCATATTGGCATCATTGTTAAAAACATAAGTTCATATTGGCATCATTGCTATACACGTAAAATCATATTGGCATCATTGTTACACACGTAAGTCCATATTGACTTGACTGTTACACACGTATGTTCAAATTGGCATCATTGTTATACAAGTAAGTTCATATTGGTATCATTGTTAAACACGTAAGTTCATATTGGCATCATTGTTAAACACGTAAGTTACACACGTAAGTTCATATTGACATGACTGTTACACACGTATGTTCAAATTGGCATCATTGTTATACAAGTAAGTTCATATTGGTATCATTGTTAAACACGTAAGTTCATATTGGTATCATTGTTAAACACGTAAGTTCATATTGGCATCATTGTTAAACACGTAATTTCATATTGGCATCATTGTTACACACGTAAGTTCATATTGACTTGACTGTTACACACGTATGTTCAAATTGGCATCATTGTTATACAAGAAAGTTCATATTGGTATCATTGTTGAACACGTAAGTTCATATTGGTATAGTTGTTAAACACGTAAGTTCATATTGGCATCATTGTTAAACACGTAAGTTCATATTGGCATCATTGTTACGCACGTAAGTTCATACTGACATGACTGTTACACGCGTATGTTCAAATTAGCATCATTGTTAAACACGTAAGTTACACACGTAAGTTCATATTGACATGACTGTTACACACGTATGTTCAAATTGGCATCATTGTTATACAAGTAAGTTCATATTGGTATCATTGTTAAACACGTAAGTTCATATTGGCATCATTGTTAAACACGTAAGTTCATATTGGTATCATTGTTAAACACGTAAGTTCATATTGGCGTCATTGTTAAACACGTAAGTTCATATTGGCATCATTGTTAAACACGTAAGTTACACACGTAAGTTCATATTGACATGACTGTTACACACGTATGTTCAAATTGGCATCATTGTTATACAAGTAAGTTCATATTGACATGACTGTTACACACGTATGTTCAAATTGACATCATTTTTATACAAGTAAGTTCAAATTGGCATCATTGTTACACACGTAAGTTCAAATTGGCATCATTGTTACACACGTAAGTCCATATTGACTTGACTGTTACACACGTATGTTCAAATTGGCATCATTGTTATACAAGAAAGTTCATATTGGTATCATTGTTAAACACGTAAGTTCATATTGGTATAGTTGTTAAACACGTAAGTTCATATTGGCATCATTGTTAAACACGTAAGTTCATATTGGCATCATTGTTACGCACGTAAGTTCATACTGACATGACTGTTACACGCGTATGTTCATATTGGCATCATTGTTAAACACGTAAGTTACACACGTAAGTTCATATTGACATGACTGTTACACACGTATGTTCAAATTGGCATCATTGTTATACAAGTAAGTTCATATTGGTATCATTGTTAAACACGTAAGTTCATATTGGCATCATTGTTAAACACGTAAGTTCATATTGGCATCATTGTTAAACACGTATGTTCATATTGGCATCATTGCTAAACACGTAAGTTCATATTGACATGACTGTTACACACGTATGTTCAAATTGGCATCATTGTTATACAAGTAAGTTCATATTGGCATCATTGTTACACACGTAAGTTCATATTGGCATCATTGTTAAACACGTATGTTCATATTGGCATCATTGTTATACACTTAATTTCATAATGGCATCATTGTTATACACTTAATTTCATATTGACATCACTGTTACACACGTGTGTTCCTATTGCCATTACAGTTACACACATGTACGTTAACATTAGCATCATTGTTACACATGTGGGTTTATATTGACAACATTGTTACACACGTAAGCTCATAATGCCATTACAGTTACACATGTAAAAGTTCACATAAGCATCATTGTTATACACATGTTTAAACCATTATTACACAAGGGAGTTCATAATAGAATTATTGTTACATATGTGAGTTCATATTGGCATCATTCTTGCACACATGTGACTTCATACTGACATCATTTTTACACCTGTTAGTACGTTTTGGTACATTTTCTTGTTTTGTTCGTTATGCAACCTCGAACACAGCGATTTCCCCGATTTCTGTGAACAATCGAGTTTGGACCAGACAATCTTGTGCTTGTAATCATGAGTATCGAGTGATGCAATTGGGATACGATGACATGCATCATTCAAATCAGAGTGCATGATCACCACCCCATCAAGTTATGTGTCTTATGACACGCAAGGGTTGCTGCAGACCAGTTCTAAGGCTGGCCGTAATGTATTATTGTTTCCCATCTCACACTCGCCCTGAAACAAGTGATAGTTCCATGAAACATGTTATACAATGAGTAAAAACATATTTTATAGGATGCCCATTTTTTCTCCCGTCCACTCTTTTGATGGTATATGTTGGAGATGAAAATCTACTAAAAATGCAGACGTCCTGAGCTGAATCTTCACGGGTCGATCTGTACAATTAGTAAACATATGTGTCCATATTGGCACAATTATTTCAGATGTGACTTCATATTACCAGAGCTTCTTACATATACATCTTGCATGTAATATATCGGATGCTAGTTTAGTGAGTGAATTTCTGATCTCAGTACTCATTAAGACCACATTTTCCACAAAGAATTGAGACGCTGGTTTAACTTTTAACAAATACGTAATGAAAAAATATTGTGCTCAGTGTTTTTGTTTTGATACAGGACAATGTCAACGTGATCGTCGTGAACTGGCGAGAAGGTGCCAAGCCTCCTGTGTACTTTCAGAGCGTCGCCAACACCAGAGTTGTGGGTACTCTTTTGGCCAAGCTTATAAAGAGGCTGCAAACAGTGACGGGGGCCTCGTTTCAGAGCTTTCATCTGATTGGACACAGCCTAGGAGCGCACGTTGCTGGTTATGCTGGGATGACGATTGATAAAATTGGTAGAATCACAGGTACGTGATTGTGTAAACATTTCTTTCTATCAGTTTTAAAATCAAAACGAACATTTCTTTCGGTAAACGGTTTCTTTTTCTCGGCAGGAATGGATCCAGCAGGTCCTAATTTCAACGACTACGGAAACCAGGTTATCTTGGATGCAAGTGATGCCAGCTTTGTAGACATCATACACACCAATGCTAAACCTCTGCGCAACTTTGGTAAGCTGAAAATATACTTAATAATATTCAATGACAGTGTAATAAGATCAAAAGTTACTTGTACTAATTTGCTCACACTTTCGAGAAGATTGTAAAGAGTTCTGACACGTATATTTTCTGTTCATATGAAAAGAAATCTGGAGATAGAAATATCCAAAACTAACCGGAGAAACGGGTTTCAATTTAAAGTGATTTAATGCGAGAGAAATTATTTTGTTCCTCCAGGGCTTGAAGAGTTCCAGTCAGGTCGAAGACTGTGAGTTGTATACATGGCCCAAAATGAGAGTATCTGGCTTGTGATTTTGGCCATATAGAACTGTGGTTCTGGGTATGAGGGACAAAGGAGTATCTGATCACAGATCTGTGATAGTGCTTCAGGGTATGGGATACAAAGGACTATCTGTGATCTGTGATTGTGTTTCAGGGTATGGGATACAAAGGACTATCTGTGATCTGTGATTGTGTTGCAGGGTATGGGATACGGAGGACTATCTGTGATTGTGTTTTGGGGAATGGGATACAGAGGACTATCTGAGATCTGTGATTGTGTTTCAGGGTATGGGATACAGAGGACTATCTGAGATCTGTGATTGTGTTTCTGGGTATGGGATACAGAGGACTATCTGTGATCTGTGATTGTGTTTCACGGTATGGGATACAGAGTATTATCTGAGATCTGTGATTGTGTTTCACGGTATGGGATACAGAGGACTATCTGTGATTGTGTTTCAGGGTATGGGATACAAAGGACTATCTGTGATCTGTGATTGTGTTGCAGGGTATGGGATACGGAGGACTATCTGTGATTGTGTTTTGGGGAATGGGATACAGAGGACTATCTGAGATCTGTGATTGTGTTTCAGGGTATGGGATACAGAGGACTATCTGAGATCTGTGATTGTGTTTCTGGGTATGGGATACAGAGGACTATCTGTGATCTGTGATTGTGTTTCACGGTATGGGATACAGAGTATTATCTGAGATCTGTGATTGTGTTTCACGGTATGGGATACAGAGGACTATCTGTGATTGTGTTTCAGGGTATGGGATACAGAGGGCAATCTGTGATCTGTGATTGTGTTTCAGGGTATGGGATACAGAGGACTATTTGGGATCTCTGATTGCGTTTCAGAGTATGGGATACGGAGGACTATCTGAGATTTGTGATTGTGTTTCAGGGTATGGGATACGGAGGACTATCGGTCACGTGGACTTTTTCCCTAATGGCGGTGTTAATCAACCCGGGTGCCCGGACACCACCAGGGGCATCCTGCTCCTCCTCAACGGCAACACTGCAGGTAGGCGGTTTAGGGCACGCAGTCACTATCCACTTTCAGATAAACTAGACAGGGTTACGTTCTTTCTATTACACTTCTACTACTGCTAGCACTACTCCTTTTTTCTGCTATTAGGCGGTGCCCAGTGGTTAAAGCGTTCGCTCGTGACGCTCGACCTGGGTACAATGTGGGAAGCCGATTCCTGGTGTCCCCCGCCGTGATATTGCTAGAATATTGCTAAAAGCGGCGACACCATACTCACTCACTCACATTTGTTTGCTTTGGAACAAAACATATTTTGTGGTCAATATAAGTAAGTGCATTTACATGTAATAGCTCTTTCATTTTTCTACTACTACTCCTTAATAATAATTAGTCCATTTATACTGCGCTAAATCCTCACCGACGGCATACTCATAACGCAGACTTTAGAATTCAGGAGTCACTTGTAAAAACATAGAGAAAGGATATCACTTTAGGTTTGTTTTAAAACATGTGACGGTTGGGCCTGTTCTAAGGTGAGCTGGTAACTCATTCAAGTTCATGGCGGCCGCCACTTGAAATGAGCGAAAACCATAGGTTTTCAACTTCCATTTGAATGTTAAGTAAGGTTTTGTCAATGGAGCGAAGCAGTCTGCATGGAAGATATGATTAGAACAATTCATTGAGATAGACTGGAGCAGTTCCTAGTACTGGTAGACAAGGGTTCACACTGTTACGTTCACTCTAGCTCTTATGGGCAACCAGTGTAACTGTTTTAGAATAGGGATCATGCTACTACTACTACTACTACTACTACTACTACTACTACTACTACTACTACTACTACTACTACTACTCCTGCTGCTCGGCAATAATGGGTACAACAAGGACTGGTCGGCTCGGAGTCAGTATAATGTGTCTGAGTGGGGTATTCATGCTTCACTGCAGCAAGGTATCTCAGTGGGCTCAGTACTCCTGCTGCTGCTACTGCTACTACTACTACTACTACTACTACTACTACTACTACTACTACTCCTGCTGCTGCTACTGCTACTACTACTATCAAACTCTGTTTGTGTGTGTTTAGAGGCAGTGACGACATTGGCTTGTAGTCATGAACGAGGATTTGTTTATTTCATCGCATCTATAAACGGGACTAGTTTTGAGGCGTACCCTTGCGCCAGTAGGTCAGCCTATGAGCGAGGTCTCTGCACAACGTGTGACAGCGGATGTGCATACATGGGTTACCATGCCGACGTAACCAACCCCAGGGGCACATTCTACCTGTCAACAGGATCCGACTGGATACAATATGTAAGTGTCGTGAGGTATGGAAACAGCTTACGGATAACATAATTTACCTTTTCGGAGCAGGATCAGACTCTTTGGGTATGCAGACTTGGTTCATTGGTTCGAACCCAAGCCTGGTTTTCAGCCTGTATAAACAGTATTGTATATACTACGGAGGTATCAATGCTCTTCTTCAAAGCGTTTTCTAAAATGTACAAAGCGAAAGGCCACTTTCCGTAATCATCAGAGATTTCTACAAAAGAAACAGACTCGACTGTGCACGCCCCCCTTTGTCATAAGCATATGTTTATTGATCAGAATCCATAAGTGCTGGGTACCGTTTCACAAACCGATCGTAGTGCTACGACTGCCGAAAGTCAATGTTAAAGTTATGATCACCTCAAAGCTACGATCCCTTTGTGGAACGACGCCCTGGTTGCGAAAGGTGAGAGTTTTCTCCCCTGCCATTGGTACCTATCACAAACACATGCAAAGGCAAGCATCATGACAAACAGTGGTTTTCCTGATTAAGGCCATACGTATGTCAACACCATAAGGTTTATCGCGCATTTTTATGTGTTTTCAATCTGCCATATGTCCTGACTATTCATTTTCATAATATTCTTATCCCGGCACACTTATCGAAACCTGGTCATCTGGATCATTCTTCATCTACAAGTTTTAATACTTGTTTCCAAGCAAAGTGATTCGATCCACATCGTACATTATTTTGTTTGTTAATAATTAATTACAAAGTGATCTATTTCTTAAAATTGTATAAACTAATTAGTGGAAACCATTTTGTATCTTTTTATTCATTTTGTTATTTTTTTCCTCGACCTACTGCTACCTTGCTCATTGTGGTTGGAGATAAGAACCACATAAAAATACAACTGGTTTAACGATAACGTTTACAATGACGATATATTGCTTGAATCTTAGTTTTCTCTCATATTGGGATGTCTTTTCTCTCTTATATTTGGATGTCTCATATTGGGGTCTCGACATAGTTACCTCCCTTACATGCCTCGTCTCACTTACAGATACGAGGTGCTATCAAAACGTTTTGAACCTAAAATACTTCTGAAAGGTGCATAATCAAAATAACTGTGTGATACTGAAGAATGGTTTATATCATTCACATAAACGTAATACTGACATGTACATGTCGCTAGTTTCCGGTCACGTGACATCTAATCAATTGCTCTCTATTAAAACGGCAGAAATGAAAAAGCTTAAGTACAGAGCAGTCCTCAAGGGCCACCCGGCGAAGCAACGTTGAAGAGCAATTGAGACCCCATGGGACTCAGTATTCTTGCACATATCAGAAATATTTTAGCCGTAAAACGTTTTGATAGACTCTCGTATGTCCTTGTCCTCCATCACCAGTCCTTCATTGAATCTTCTTGTTGCAGCCTCAAAACACCTCAATGGGCGTCCTTGCAGCCATCGTTTGAACTCCCCGATACTCTTTCATTAATTACTGTATATTTAGAATTTCTAGAATAAAGTTAATATTTTCCAGAAATGGCAGTTTGGAGTTTAGTTTTTGACGTGATAGACCTAAAAGTACAGCATAAGAACGCCCGGAGCAAATCTTTTGGAGAAAATACAGTTGCTTGAAGATATTAAATGATGCTTTCTCAGAAAATACATATACGAATTTGTTTTTGAGCATTTATGATAATTGTGTCATACATTAAATGGATTGGACTTGTTATTATCCATGTTCTGTAGCTACCGATGTGAAAAGTTAAACATTAACTCACTCACATTATGTTTGTAAGGTTGCAAAATATACACACATAAAGTAATTGCTGGATATTTTAAATTATTCCATTCACGGATTTGTTAAATATAGCATGGGCTGTAGAATATGTTATGTTTGGGATTGGTCATGGGCTGGCGAGACCTGTTATTTTTATTTCTTTTTGTATTCTGAAGGTGAGTTTTTTATTCCGTTGAATGTGAACCTAACTGCTCACCACAAGAATGCAAATATAAGATCTATACTGAAACACAAATAAACACACACCACAGGGGTTAGCGTAACGCTCACAACGTTCAGTTATCACCAAAGGTGCAGGGAGGCTGAAACTTTATTCGTTACTGGAGACAACTTGTCGCCACATTTGACGCAAATGTTGTTATGACCACTGCAGACATTGGCGATGTCGTTGAGTCGGTACGCTCGAGATGAAGCAAACCAGGAATGGGTACAGCTGTCTATATCTGCAGCTGTCTGTGTTGCCCACTGCTGTCCGTCACCCAGAGGTGCCACCTTGATGTTATAAGTGGATCCTAAATATCTGCAGCTGTCTGTGTTGCCCACTGCTGTCCGTCACCCAGAGGTGCCACCTGGATGTAATGACGTGGATCCTGAATATCTGCAGCTGTCTGTGTTGCCCATTGCTGTCCGTCACCCAGAGGTGCCACCTTGATGTAATAACGTGGATCCTGAATATCTGCAGCTGTCTGTGTTGCCCACTGCTGTCCGTCACCCAGAGGTGCCACCTGGATGTAATGACGTGGATCCTGAATATCTGCAGCTGTCTGTGTTGCCCATTGCTGTCCGTCACCCAGAGGTGCCACCTGGATGTAATGACGTGGATCCTGAATATCTGCAGCTGTCTGTGTTGCCCACTGCTGCCCGTCACCCAGAGGTGCCACCTGGATGTAATAACGTGGATCCTGAATATCTGCAGCTGTCTGTGTTGCCCATTGCTGTCCGTCACCCAGAGGTGCCACCTGGATGTAATGACGTGGATCCTGAATATCTGCAGCTGTCTGTGTTGCCCATTGCTGTCCGTCACTCAGAGGTCGTGCGTGGAGAAGTGACCATTGCTGTTCTAGAAGCTCCTAGACCACGTCTGATCCTTAAAGGCATCTAAATGTCGCCACCCCACACCACTGTTCACATCAGAAACAATATAATACAATATATTGCAATGCAATAACGTAAACCAGAAATATAAAGTGGCTTACGAAACAAGAAATGAAGAGCATGTGATTTAAAAACTTTATTTGTATGCGGTCACCGTGTTGTCCTTCATGTCACTGAGCTGAACTGGATCTAGTGTCCTATGGAGGCAGCTCAGTGGATCGGATGGCCAGAATGACCCAGCGGTCATAATATCAATCATTCGATTGTTTTGTCCATATTCTTTTCATTACACTGCAGGATTCTTTTCTGAGGGCAGCGTTAACCATGAAATAAAACAAACATTATGCTAACCATGAAATAAAACAAACATTATGCTGTGGATTATGAAACTCTGGATTGGTTCCGAAGGTGTGACAAGCTTGTGAGGACAGTGGACCGAAAGTACCAATTCAAAGATCTATTGGAAAGTTGTTATTTGAAGTGACACGGTTTAATTGGATGGAAAATATAGGGTGGCTAGTTCCTACACAATATAATTCATAGCACACCCTGCACACAGATACAAGGGACATAACCCCTCCTAGCTAAACGTGTTTGTATGGGCGGAAACGAAGCTTCATGGGCCAAGCTCGCCTCCAACCCAACAGCCACTGACTAAGATACGAGCCACAGAAAAGATGCAGGATATTGGTGGAAGGGACATAACTCGACCAGCACTATTCGGAAGGAGTGACAGCTGTACGGTGACCGAGATGGGACATTTGTTTATCGACTTTAATTACGATCGAGATAAAGCGATAACACGAGACAAAAAAACAATAGTACCAGCTTTGATGGCTCTCCCGCCGTCTCGTGGGGTCGCATGTGACATGTGTCCATTCGATGAAAAGCGTGTAGGTAAATCAAACAGTGATTAAATATTGAAGTAAACCTTCCTAACGAACACATTGTATCCATGCGTAACCACTTGGCACACACACCCACACACGCACGCGCGTATGCACACGCACGCGCGCACACACACACAAACACACACGCAGGATGACCGACAACGCAAACGAAACAGTGGCTGGTAATACCAACAGTTATTTGTAGATGTATAAACTATGTCGGTGTGTAGTTGAGTATTTCTTCGAAATCAGTCTCTACGGTTTCAGTTTTAAGATTCAAGTTAGAATGGAATAAAAACATTATAATTTTTTAAAAGTTATTATGAACCTAGACCTAGTTCAAGTGCTCTCATTACGATGTCTGTGTTGTTTTGACAAGAAAGTCATAATCAAAACACTTTTCAAAATATACTGTAATACACAGTCCCTGAATTAAGTTAGTGTGGGGTTTTCCAGGTAAATGTTCCGTCTTACTGGGATTCGTTAATGGGAGATATTCGTGTCATACAAATTGCACATTTTCAGATAACCAGCGATTTAGTTAGCGTGTAGCGGTTCCACGCTCTCACGCTCTCACGCTCTCTCGCAATTTCCGACAACAGGCTGGCACAAAAATGACGCTAGATGCATTTCCTATTAATAATCGACATTATGTCAGCGTTTCTGAGAAATGCACGGCAAGAGATGGCCGCCATCCATCGTATTTATCCGCTACGAATACGCAACTAGTGTTTAGACAGCAACCTGTACTAGACAGCATCTAGTGCTAGCCAGCAACACATACAAAACAGCAACTAATGTCAAACAGCAACCTGCATTAGACAGCAACCTGTATTAGACAGCATCTAGTGCTAGCCAGCAACACATACTAAACAGTAACCCCAATGCTAACAGCAACCTGTACTAGACAGCAACCAATGCTAGAGAGCAATCTGTAGTAGACAGCAAATATTGCTAGCCAACAATACATACTGGGTAGCAACCAATGCTAGACAGCTACTAGTAATAGCCAGCAACAATTGCTGGAATGAAACATACCTAGACATACACCAATTTTTGACAGCCATGAATACTCGGCAGCAGCCATTGCTGTAAGAAGCCGACTAATGATGGACAGCAACCAATGGTTGACAGCAACCATTGCCGGACAGCAACTAATGTGGAACAGCAACTATTGCTCTACAGCAGCCAGTGCAACATAGCAACCAATGTTCAACAGCAACTATTGCTGTACAGCAGCCAGTGCAACATAGCAACTAATGTTCAACAGCAACTATTGCTGTACAGCAGCCAGTGCACCATAGCGACCAATGTTCAACAGCAACTATTGCTGTACAGGAGCCAGTGCAACATAGCAACCAATGTTCAACAGCAACTATGGCTGTACAGCAGCCAGTGCACCATAGCAGCCAATGTTCAACAGCAACTATTGCTCTACAGCAGCCAGTGCACCATAGCGACCAATGTTCAACAGCAACTATTGCTGCAGCAGCCAGTGCAACATAGCAACCAATGTTCAACAGCAACTATTACAGCAGCCAGTGCACCATAGCAGCCAATGTTCAACAGCAACAATTGCTGTACAGCAGCCAGTGCAAGATGGCAACCAATGTTCAACAGCAACTATTGGTGTACAGCAGCCAGTGCACCATAGCAACCAATGTTCAACAGCAACTATTGCTGTACAGCAGCCAGTTCAAGATGGCAAGTAATGTTCAACAGCAACAATTGCTGTACAGCAGCCAGTGCAAGACAGCAAGTAATGTTCAACAGCAACTATTGCTGTACAGGAGCCAGTGCAAGATAGCAACCAATGTTCAACAGCAACTATGGCTGTACAGCAGCCAGTGCAACATAGCAGCCAATGTTCAACAGCAACTATTGCTCTACAGCAGCCAGTGCACCATAGCGACCAATGTTCAACAGCAACTATTGCTGTACAGCAGCCAGTGCAACATAGCAACCAATGTTCAACAGCAACTATTACAGCAGCCAGTGCACCATAGCAGCCAATGTTCAACAGCAACAATTGCTGTACAGCAGCCAGTGCAAGATAGCAACCAATGTTCAACAGCAACTATTACAGCAGCCAGTGCACCATAGCGACCAATGTTCAACAGCAACTATTGCTGTACAGCAGCCAGTGCAACATAGCAACCAATGTTCAACAGCAACTATTACAGCAGCCAGTGCACCATAGCAGCCAATGTTCAACAGCAACAATTGCTGTACAGCAGCCAGTGCAAGACAGCAAGTAATGTTCAACAGCAACTATTGCTGTACAGCAGCCAGTGCAAGATGGCAAGTAACGTTCAACAGCAACAATTGCAGTACAGCAGCCAGTGCATGACAGCAAGTAATGTTCAACAGCAACTATTGCTGTACAGCAGCCAGTGCAAGATAGCAAGTAATGTTCAACAGTAACTATTGCTGAACAGCAGCCAGTGCAAGATGGCAACCAATGTTGAAAAGCAAATATTGATGTACAGCAGCCAGTGCAACATAGCGACAAATAATCCACAGCAACTATTGCTCTACAGCAGCCAGTGCAACATAGCGACCAATGTTCAACAGCAACTATTGCTGAACAGCAGCCAGTGGAAGATAGCAACCAATGTTCAACAGCAACTATTGCTGTACAGCAGCCAGTGCACCATAGCGACGAATGTTCAACAGCAACTATTGCTGTACAGCAGCCAGTGCAACATAGCGACCAATGTTCAACGGCAATTATTGCTGTACAGCAGCCAGTGCACCATAGCAACCAATATTCAACAGCAACTATTGCTGTACAGCAGCCAGTGCAAGACAGCAAGTAATGTTCAACATCAACTATTGCTGTACAGCAGCCAGTGCAAGATGGCAAGTAATGTTCAACAGCAACTATTGCTGTACAGCAGCCAGTGCAAGACAGCAAGTAATGTTCAACAGCAACTATTGCTGTACAGCAGCTAGTGCACCATGGCAACCAATGTTCAACAGCAACTATTGCTGCACAGCAGCCAGTGTACCATAGCGAGCAATGTTCAACAGCAACTATTGCTGTACAGCAGCCAGTGCAAGACAGCAAGTAATGTTCAACAGCAACTATTGCTGTACAGCAGCCAGTGCAAGATGGCAAGTAACGTTCAACAGCGACAATTGCAGTACAGCAACCAGTGCATGACAGCAAGTAATGTTCAACAGCAACTATTGCTGTACAGCAGCCAGTGCAAGATAGCAAGTAATGTTCAACAGTAACTATTGCTGAACAGCAGCCAGTGCAAGATGGCAACCAATGTTGAAAAGCAAATATTGATGTACAGCAGCCAGTGCAACATAGCGACAAATAATCCACAGCAACTATTGCTCTACAGCAGCCAGTGCAACATAGCGACCAATGTTCAACAGCAACTATTGCTGAACAGCAGCCAGTAGAAGATAGCAACCAATGTTCAACAGCAACTATTGCTGTACAGCAGCCAGTGCACCATAGCGACGAATGTTCAACAGCAACTATTGCTGTACAGCAGCCAGTGCAACATAGCGACCAATGTTCAACGGCAATTATTGCTGTACAGCAGCCAGTGCACCATAGCAACCAATATTCAACAGCAACTATTGCTCTACAGCAGCCAGTGCAACATAGCAAGTAATGTTCAACAGCAACTATTGCTGTACAGCAGCCAGTGCACCATAGCAACCAATGTTCAACAGCAACTATTTCTGTACAGCAGCCAGTGCACCATAGCGACCAATGTTCAACAGCAACTATTGCTGCACAGCAGCCAGTGCAAGATAGCAAGTAATGTTCAACAGCAACTATTGCTGTACAGGAGCCAGTGCAACATAGCAACCAATGTTCATCAGGAACAATTGCTGTACAGCAGCCAGTGCAACATAGCAACCAATTTTCAACAGTATCTATTGCTATACAGCAGCCAGTGCACCATAGCGACCAATGTTCAACAGCAACTATTGCTGTACAGCAGCCAGTGCAACATAGCAACCAATGTTCAACAGCAACTATTGCTGTTCAGCAGCCTGTGCAACATAGCAACCAATGTTCAAGAGCAACTATTGCTGAACAGCAGCCAGTGCAACATAGCAACCAATGTTCAACAGCAACTATGGCTGTACAGCAGCCAGTGCAACATAGCAACCAATGTTCAACAACAACTATTGCTGTACAGCAGCCAGTGCAACATAGCAACCAATGTTCAACAGCAACTATTGCTGTACAGCAGCAAGTGCACCATGGCAACCAATGTTCAACAGCAACTATTGCTGTACAGCAGCCAGTGCAACATAGCGACCAATGTTCAACAGCAACTATTGCTGCACAGCAGCCAGTGCAAGATAGCAAGTAATGTTCAACAGCAACTATTGCTGTACAGGAGCCAGTGCAACATAGCAACCAATGTTCAACAGCAACTATTGCTGAACAACAGCCAGTGCAACATAGCAACCAATGTTCATCAGGAACAATTGCTGTACAGCAGCCAGTGCAACATAGCAACCAATTTTCAACAGTATCTATTGCTGTACAGCAGCCAGTTAACCATAGCGACCAATGTTCAACAGCAACTATTGCTGTACAGCAGCCAGTTCAACATAGCAACCAATGTTCAACAGCAACTATTGCTGTTCAGCAGCCAGTGCAACATAGCAACCAATGTTCAACAGCAACTATTGCTGAACAGCAGCCAGTGCAACATAGCAACCAATGTTCAACAGCAACTATTGCTGTACAGCAGCCAGTGCAACATAGCAACCAATGTTCAACAGCAACTATTGCTGTACAGCAGCCAGTGCAACATAGCAACCAATGTTCATCAGCAACTATTGCTTTACAGGAGCCAGTGCACCATAGCAACCAATGTTCAACAGCAACTATTGCTGTACAGCAGCCAGTGCAACATAGCAACCAATGTTCAACAGCAACTATTGCCCTACAGCAGCCTATGGAAGACAGTGACTAATCGTGGACAGCAATCAATGCTGGATTAATTCATTCATTCACAAACCCAAAATGAACCTCAATAGTATTGGATACCACATCAGTCTTACACATAGTGCCCAGTTACATGACTGTCACCCTCCAAGAGGGGCATGGTATTCAGTATGCTGCAGGTTTCTAGCTGGGAACACCGTACTTTCGCTTCTCTTTTCCGTGTATACAAAGTGTCAGTACTTTGCTCGGTCACATATTCCAGTTTCCCCGGGAAAGCTTGTTTCGCTGAACTGCCTCTTTCAATACAAGTAGGTCACAAGCTGCTCCATGCTGACATGCCGAGCGCACATCCCACCTGATCGGGTAAGTCACGCTTCCGGTGTGAGATCATTGTTCAGACATGTTATTTATCACACTGTTTTGACCCCCATTACAATCCTTTGTTTCTATTTCATTCTTATCTTTTTCAAAAGTACATTTCTCAACAGTCAGTAATTTAAAATTTATGACATAAGACCTTTGGAAAAGTAAACAAAGCAACCAAAAGCAATGCCCTGTTGATTACATTTAACTGAACTATACCCTATCGTTTCTTCACCGACCATTGCGAAAGTTGATGAAACCGTCATGCCGACACAAGGAAATAGAATGTCCATGAACAAGAGTGCTAGAAATAGTCTCCTACAATTACACACATACGAATTTTCGTTTACGACCGTGTACCATGAGAAATACCCACTCCAAAGAGCCAAAGAGTACAAGATCAGATGTCTATCGAATTTGTAAGTCACTCATTTCACACAGAAATTAGAATAGACAGCAACGTTTGAAATAATTTGAATGAGTTTTTCCATATTTTTATCTTATCACCTCGCTGACCATCAGTCAGCGATATGATTGGATCCTGTACCTAATCAATTCTGCTCTTGGGGCGGTGGGGTAGCGTAGTGGGTAAAGTGTTCGCTCGTCACGCCGAAGACCACGAATCGGTTTCCCACATGGGTGAGTGAGTGAGTGAGTTTAGTTTTACGCCGCTTTTAGCAATATTCCAGCAATATCATGCCGGAGGACACTGGAAATGAGCTTCCCACTCATATGGGTACAATGTGTGAAACTAAGTTCTGGTGTCCCCCGGTGCGATATTGCTACAACTAATCCATTCTGCCCCAGAAAGCTCAGTGACTGATATCCTGAGCCTTCGGGTACTACGCGCAATCACCAAAGTCACAGAACCTGGTTATCGGATCCTGCAGATGCTAACTCTGAATCCGAATGACATTATTTGATGGGAGATAAGCAGGCGCTATATATCTGTATAATATCATTATATATCGTATTAGTTAGTAATCTTTTTCTTGCAGGTCGTGTAACCTAGGTTTCCAATACAATGCCAGTACAACCATCACACGCAGTTGTCATCATGATGGCCATCCTGCTACATAGTAGTACAGGTGAGAAATATACAGGTACTTAAGGGTGTTCACATGTAAATATCTTGTTGTACCGGATCGTTGTTCCGGCCATAAGTAGGGACGAATGAACTAAACACAAAACAAAACATCTGATAATTGCTTGTAATAACCAATCATGTAATGTATGAATAAAACGCAAACGTCTTGTTTGTGCCACAACAATGAATGCTTTCCTGCGTTTTGTGTGAAGTAGTCGTGAAACGCACGAGTCATATCAATTGCATGTCAGGCGTGAACAGCATAGAAGTGAGTCCACTGATTGTGTTGGCAGTCAGAATCCAAAACATGCACAACGCAGCACAGCGATTGCAGATGGGAGTTACAGGCGTCATATGGGCAGAACCTTTGATCTTGCAAGTCAGTGCACAATGATACTGCTGAGAGTGAGTGAGTGAGTGAGTTTGGTTTTAAGCCGCTGTTAGCTTTGTACGGGCGTCTCCCCCGTGAAATATGCCTTGGACGCTCCGCGGAGACAATTCAAATGTGAAACTGCCACCCTTCATCAAGCAGCTCGGACAGTTCGACATGTGACGTGATCCACGAAGAGACTGGTACCGCCTTGCCAGGCTATGTCATGCCACATCCTGAGTGGACTGGTCATTTGTGATTGTCACTGATGAATCACGGTGTGGCATTTTTAGAAGTTGGAGATTTAGATAAGAACAAACTTTGTGGATGAATAACGTCCTTATTCAGGTGATGCTACATGTTTAACTTCTCCTGTTCTGTGCATCCTACTGGCTTCTTGATGTAATCCCTTGTCATCACTTTGTCACTTTACTTCTCAATTATCCTCTACTTTACTTCTTAACTATTTGGGCGGTGGGGTAGCCTAGTGGTTAAAGTGTTGGCTCGTCACACCGAAGACCCGGGTTCGAATCCCCACATGGGTACAATGTGTGAAGCCCATTTCTGGTGTCCCCCGCCGTGATGTTGCTGGAATATTGCTAAAAGCGGCGTAAAACCAAACTCAGTCAGTCAGTCAGTCTTAATTATCTTCTACTTAACTTCTCAGTTATCTTCTTGTTGTTTCTGTTAATAATATACTGTTAACTTATAAAATCATGTTTTCTACCTGATTCATACCTGCTTGACAACAAGAATTTGTATGGAAACGTCCCATCGCCTGAATAAAGAAGTTGTTCATCCACAAAGTTTGCCGTTAACTGAGTATTTCACCGCTGCGCAGTCTGCGCAGAAAATATTTTGTTGTTTTTGATGTCTAAAGACAAAGTCATCGTGAATACTGACTGACTGACTGAGTTTAGTTTTACGCCGCTTTTAGCAATATTCCAGCAATATCACGGCGGGGGACACCAGAAATGGGCTTAACACATTGTGCGGGGAATCGAACCCGGGTCTTCGGCGTGACGAGCCAACGCTTTAACCACTAGGCTACCCCACCGCCCCATCATGAATACAATGCTGTTTGAAGGACGTATATTTGTTGTGTCGAGGATTCTATTTGAGGAGATTTGAGGACCTGGTTACAGATTCCGCATGTATGATACAGATACGCTTGCAACAGTGGCTGACAAACGAAAGGGTGGAATTAATTGCTTGCTTGTTTAATTTGTCACAGACAATATTCCAGCTAAATGGCGGCGGTCCGTAAATATTCCGGTCTGTCATCATGAGCATCCGACCTTCAAGGTCAAGGGTAGAATTAATTCATACAAAAATTTCTGCAAACATACGTACATGTATACACAGTTTGTAATGCATACTGGAAAAATACGTTGTTTCGTGCTCGTGTCTATCATAACTGTTTCCGTTTGTTGATGTCTTGTATTTGTTGGTATGTGTGCCCATTTGCCTCTAAGTAGAGAATAACCCGCCGTTAAAATCTGCCGTCATGTGACGGAAGCTACACACATGAGCATTATCTAAATCATTTTTCTGTTCAAACACACAACGGCACTCTATCATATTGAAATATACATGTAAAGCACGTGCTTCATACAATTTCACTGTGGATATTGGTCGAGTATGGCGAAGTCGTAACGAGGCGTATCAACAGGAGGTGATCCATGCTTCTGAAGCATGTGGTGGGGCTCAGTGATCTTGTTGGGTTGCGTTTCGAAAGATCGAATTTATCTCATTACAGTACTTGGGGCACTCAATGATCAACGTTGTGAACAGTAAGTACTAGATAGTACCACATTTGACAACCATCCCCTTGCCAGTCGTCCGATATTCACAGATGACATCGCTACATCTCGCCGTTCTCGAGCTGCCATCGCCGATTTACAGAGCAACCCTATCGCTAGCTACCGTGACCGCAATGGAAATCCACCTTTGAGACTATCATGGTCGCCAAGTTCGAGAGATCTGCAGGCGGACCAGCTGCTGATGTGGTCGCCAGTGGTAGTTCATACAATCACAAACATAGTAATTTGAGAACTGTGAGACAATCAGACTCCTGGCGTAGTCATTGTGCCCATAATCTCCTTGTTGACATTCAGTTTCGTGTATTTTCCTCAGATTTGTAATTTGTAACCAATAAAGTACTTGGAAATCCCCAAATGGCACTTCTCCACTAATATTACTTAGGTAACGGAAGTAGACGAGAGGACACCTGTGGCACATTAGTTGCGAAAGTCTTGTTTGGAGTGAGTGAGTGAGTGAGTGATTGAAGATTTTAAGTCAAATCGGCAATATTTCATCCATATCGTGACTAAAAACAAGTTAAAATTTCATGGTAAAGGTAAATTATAAAACCCGGTCAACGAAAGGCAGTATAATAACTAGTTTATCACAGATTTTAATCAAAACTAGTAATGAACTCTTAAACATTTTAGCTGCATATGACAATACAAACCATATACAGGTTATAGCTTGCCAAGAGCTGAAGGTAGATCACAACACTAGGGACCGAAAGTCTTGTAAAAGTACAATCAGTCTTCTATCTATGCGTATTTTTACAATCATAACAAAATACACATCATTATGTTTCAAGATCAAGATAGTGTACTGTACCTGAGGCCTCCGGTTCATGTATATAGCATATAACAGGCAGAGTATGGACAGTGCAAATAATGAAAAGCGTCATTGCATTGTGTAATTGGTTACAAGAAGAAATCAAAGTATTTCTTAATGTCACTGTATGTGTTAGAAGCAGGGATAATCTTACATAAACAGATTCGTATTTTTTCAGCTGGCCAGACCATGTGTACGAACTGTCTGAATGACAGCTGTAAACAAGGTTTTCACGGCGATGAGTGCAACAGAACATGTCGAGTCCAATGTGTCGAGAGTAGATGTCATATATCCTATGACACCGGAAGTGCCGTTTGCGACAAGGGCTGCATTCCAGGATTTCGAGGACGTTATTGTGAGAGGAAATGTCCAAAACGATGCGCGGTGTGCAATAACACCATGTGTCCCAAATGTACCAGTGCCTCGTGGTACGGGGAAAGCTGTAGAAAGTACTGCAGCCACTGTCCCGGTGCGTCCTGCTACAAGAACGGAACCTGCAAACGAGGCTGCACCGGAAGAAACGAAAGACCAGGATGCAACTCACAAGGTAAGCGGCCCATAGCCTCGGCTGCTGTAATCATTAGCCGTTCCTTGAAAAAAATACTCTGGTTTGATATCACTTTACTCGGGGACAAGTATATATCTGCAATCGCTGTTGGGTTCATATAACATTCTTACTGTTCAAATGGATAGAATTTTGAAGAAATGACCCGTATCTTATGAGGTATTCTGTCTCTCATACCCTAGAGATTAAGCCGAAACTGAATCCAATTCAAGTGTGGAATGATTTCGCAAGTTTACATTACCACAATAACACATCTTCTTTTTGGGTTTACAGTTTCTCTTTAAAGTACAGATTCTAGTAACTTTATTTGGTTCATTCCCATTCGGGATTCGATCCCACACCCTCAGAGACAGGCACCTAATCGCCAGCACACAAAGTCAGCCTCCTAGCTCACTCAACCACTGAGCTTTCTTAAAAATGGAAGTCTGACAACTAGTAGTCTTGACAATGGACTTTGTGTACCTTTCCGATGAGTGCAAAGTTAGATACCATTTAGAAAGGGGTGAAATGTGACACATGGTAAATTTGGGATTGCACTTTAATTACAGACATGAACGAGAACACGACGCGTGATGCTGTCTACGACAGAGATGATGACGAGGGTGACAAGACTTTCATCATGCTGATCATCTTCGGATCACTCATAGGTGTCATGCTCCTGGTGTCATGCAGTGTTGGTGTGAGGTGATGGTAGTGTTAATTACTTGCTTAGTATTGTACAGTGGTTAAAGGCGGACTCTGCACGGCCAAATTAACAGATAGAGCAACATTGATTAAAGTCCCTCAAACACAATTTCTAGAGAGTCTGCTAGCGCAGAAAGTATGATAATATAGTTAGTTTAAATCGAAACCATATTTCGTCTTGCACAGGTATTAAATACACATTGTAAGCAATTCCCCTTTGGATGTGGACAAATGGATAGTGCGGTCGCTTGTCAAAACTCCAAAGATTAATTCCCCTCATTCATAATTGGGTTGATATCCTTATTCCGGACATCACTGAACTGATTCTTGAACCAAGTTAAACCTGTTTTTTCTTAATCAGTGTCGACTTGCACATTTGGCAATACATCTCGCTTGTAACATGTGGTTTTGGTAAATTTTGTAAGAGGGTAGGACAAAATCCCATAGGACAAAATGTCTTCACACTGCGGACAAAATCCCAACAGTGTGAAAAATGACATTTATATCATTATAAAAAAAGATATTTATATTTTTCCTCATAAATAAGCAGTTTTGATAATAAGCACTTATAACATGATTCAACGCAATCTCATAACATAATGCATCATCGTGGTTTATTTTCATGGTACTTGTAATCATGTAAAGCATTCTAGAATATATCAGCATCTTATTTCATGTATGACTAACTGGATGACTATGAGATGTAACAAGAACGGGATTCTCCTTTGTCAGCGATGTTTTCATGAAGCCAGAGCAACTTTTCGTGAACATTCCAACCTAATACTACTCTTATTCGTAACCGTCCTAGTGTACAAAAATCCATCTAATGTTATTTCAACTCCTCCCTTATTGCTCTTCAGTACTTCCAGTTTGGAACACTGATTAAAACTGTCATCATCACAGACACATTTATACAATTTATCAATGCAGCCACGAAAACGTGCTAATCAACTTATCTCACTGGCTTGTCATGAAAACATTCTAATAAATACTGGCGGAAAAGGGCAGCAATAACTTATCAAAATGGGATTTTGTCCTATGTTGGTCATTTTAGGCGAGTCCAAAGAACACGGTGAATCGCAGTATGAGGAAACTGAGGGCCGGGTTTATACAATCTGTGACCTGTCTTTCCGTCGTGCCCTGCCATTGGTCATCCGTTGGTCTGATCCAGATTATTTTGTCTGTCTTCCTATGAGATAATACTGAAATTGTGTAAACATGGAACTGGAAGAATCTGTTAGTGGTAACAGTGAAATACAGTACCGAACAAAACATACATCCTTTAATTGCATTCCGTTTCATGTCAGGCCTCCTTCCAACATTGGTTATCCGGAGTTACAAGGACAAAAGTACAATATACGTCCAAAATTAAAACTGAAATTTTTTTGGACGCCACGGGTATCTGCCCAGATAAATGGGGCGCAAGTCATGCTGGATAACCTGAACAGTTGCGTCTTTTTGCTTCATTTGTGGCAGGGATATCCCCCACCCCCACCCCCACCGCTACCGAGAATCCTGGTATGAAAATAGAGAATTTAACCAGAATCAGTTTGTCCTGTATGACAATACGACTGGACGGTCTAGTTTCACAACAATACTACTGCGCATGGAAGTGCACCACGTATGCCACATGACCACCCCAACTCTCTCCTTTGTTTCAGCTTGTGGCAGACAAAGAAAGGGAGAAAGTATAGACATAATGCAACGATAATCTCTCCTGGAAACACAAACCACGTGTCACCACACCACTGGGACAGGACGGATCCCCAAAGTTATTTAAGAGCCACCCATGATTTTCCTACTGAAGAAGCGCATATTTATGAAGAAATTCCGTCTGTCTAAACCAGACTTATGCTGGTCCAAAAGTTTAGTTCGCTTTAGAGAGTGGACTGGTTTTGTGAGACTTGAGAGGAATTGAGTCCTTGTATAATCATTATCATCTGTATAAACGGGAACGGTGGAGCGGGGACTTGTGCAGGAACGAAAGATCATCCTACTTCAGACTGGGGTCTGAAATAATTCCAGGAGTTGTGTCCCTTGTTGTCACTTGATGATCACGCAATATAAAAGACAATTATGTAAGAGTCAGTTCCCTGAATCTACGATGCAGATGTAGAATCTACAGTGAATGTATCCTTATAAACCATAGATTTAACTCGAAACCATTACTTCTTAGCTCTGTCGTGAGAAGAGAGATTTTGCTTGAAGATAAATTGAAGTTGCAATATCCGGACTTCAGCTCGAGTAACAACGGAGAACGTCTAACGAATAACGAAACCGAAGTGAAACACATGATAGTGACTTATTTCCAGAAATTATTGTGTGAACGGGATGCTGGGACGTTACACTTAACGTATGGTATTGCAAGCCAGGTGTGGTCATTTGGTCTACAATGCAAGAACAATTCTTGTGTGAAGACAAATTGCATGACGTGAAAAGGAAATGTACAGTGTGTGTCTCTGGTATAAAAAAGACAATGTACAGTGTATGTGTGTCTGGTATAAAAAAGACAATGTACATTGTGTGTCGCTGTTAAACAAACGACAATGTACAGTGTGTGTCTGCTATAAAACCGACAATGTACAGTGTATGTCTCTGGTATAAAAACGTGAATGTACAGTGTGTGTGTCTGGTATGAAAAAAGCAATGTACAGTGTGTGTCTCTGATATGAAAAAGACAGTGAATGTACAGTGCGTGTGTCACTGGTATGAAAAAGATCAGACAAAATTAATGTACAATGTGTGTGTGTGTGTGTGTCTGGTATGAAAAGACAACGTACAGTGTATGTCTCTGGTATGAAAAAGATCAGACAATGAATGTAAAGTGTTTGTGTCTCTGATATGAAAAAGATCAGACAATGAATTACAGTGTGTGTCTCTGATATGAAAAAGACAGTGAATGTACAGTGTGTGTGTCTCCGATGTGAAAAGACAATGTACAGTGTGTGTCTCTGATATGAAAAAGATCAGACAAAGAATGTAAAGTGATTGTGTTTCTGGTATAAAAAGACAATGTACAGTGTGTATCTCTGGTATGAAAAAGATCAGACAAAGAATGTACAGTGTGTGTCTCTGATATGAAAAAGACAGTGAATGTACAATGTGTGTGTCTCTGATATAAAAAAGACAATGTACAGTGTGTGTCTCTGGTATGAAAAAGATCAGACAATGAATGTAAAGTGTTTGTGTCTCTGGTATGAAAAAGATCAGACAATGAATTACAGTGTGTGTCTCTGATATGAAAAAGACAGTGAATGTACAGTGTGTGTGTCTCCGATGTGAAAAGACAATGTACAGTGTGTGTCTCTGATATGAAAAAATCAGACAAAGAATGTAAAGTGATTGTGTCTCTGGTATAAAAAGACAATGTACAGTGTGTATCTCTGGTATGAAAAAGATCAGACAAAGAATGTACAGTGTGTGTCTCTGGTATGAAAAAGACAATGTACAGTGTGTGTCTCTGATATCAAAAAGAGAGTGAATGTGGAGTGTGAGTGTTTCTCATATGAAAAAGACAATATACAGTGTATGTCTCTGGTAGGAAAAAGATCAGACAATGAATGTAAGGTGTTTGTGTCTCTGGTATAAAAAGACAATGTACAGTGTGTATCTCTGGTAGGACAATGAATGTAAAAGATCTGAGATGAAAAAAGAATGTACAGTGTGTGTCTCTGATATGAAAAAGACAGTGAATGTACAATGTGTGTGTCCCCGACGTGAAAAGACAATGTACAGTGTGTGTCTCTGATATGAAAAAGATCAGACAATGAATGTAAAGTGTTTGTGTCTCTGGTATGAAAACACAATGTACAGTGTGTGTGTCTCTGGTATGAAAAGATCAGACAATGAATGTACAATGTGTGTGTCTCTGATATGAAAAAGACAATGTACAGTGTGTGTCTCTGATATGAAAAAGACAATCTGAAATAGAAAAAGACAATGTACAGTGTGTGTCTCTCGAATAAAAAGACAATGTACAGTGTGTATCTCTGGTAGGAAAAGGATCAGACAATGAATGTAAAGTGTGTGTCTCTGATATGAAAAAGACAATGTACAGTGTGTGTGTCTGATATGAAAAAGACAGTGAATGTACAGTTTGTGTGTCTCTGATATGAAAAAGACAATCTACAGTGTGTGTCTCTGATATGAAAAAGACAATGTGCAGTGTGTGTGTCTCTGGTATAAAAAGACAATGTACAGTGTGTATCTCTGGTAGGAAAAAGATCAGACAGAATGTACAGTGTGTGTCTCTGATATGAAAAAGATCAGACAATGAATGTACAGTGTGTGTCTCTGGTATGAAAAAGATCAGACAATGAATGTCCAGTGTGTGTCTCTGGTATGAAAAAGACAATGTACAGTGTCTGTCTCATGTAGAAAAAAGATCAGACAATGTATGTACAGTGTGTGTCTCTGGTATGAAAAAGATCAGACAATGAATGTCCAGTGTGTGTCTCTGGTATGAAAAAGACAATGTACAGTGTCTGTCTCATGTCGAAAAAAGATCAGACAATTTATGTACAGTGTGTGTCTCTGATATGAAAAAGATCAGACAATGAATGTACAGTGTGTGTCTCTGATATGAAAAAGACAGTGAATGTACAGTGTGTGTGTCTCTGATATGAAAAAGACAATGTACAGTGTGTGTCTCTGATATGAAAAAGACAGTGAATGTACAGTGTTTGTGTCTCTGATATGAAAAACACAATCTACAGTGTGTGTCTCTGATATGAAAAAGACAATGTCCAGTGTTTGTGTCTCAGTGTTTGTGAAAAAGATCAGACAATGAATGTACAGTGTCTGTCTCTGATATGAAAAAGACAATGTACAGTCTGTGTCTCTGGTATGAAAAAGACAATGAATGTACAGTGTTTGTGTCTCTGATATGAAAAAGACAGTGAATGTACAGTGTGTGTGTCTCTGATATGAAAAAAAGACAATGTACAATATATGTCTGTGGTAGGAAAAAGATCAGACAATGAACGTACAGTGTGTGTGTCTCTGGTATCAAAAAGATAAGACAATGAATGTACAGTGTGTGTCTCTGATATGAAAAAGACAGTGAATGTACAGTGTGTGTGTCTCTGATATGAAAAAGACAATGTACAGTGTGTGTCTCTGATATGAAAAAGACAATGTACAGTGTGTGTCTCTGATATGAAAAACAGAGAATGTACAGTGTGTGTGTCTCTGATATGAAAAAGACAATGTACAGTGTGTGTCTCTGATATGAAAAAGACAATGTACAGTGTGTGTCTCTGATATGAAAAAGACAGTGAATGTACAGTGTTTGTGTCTCTGATATGAAAAAGACAGTGAATGTACAGTGTGTGTGTTTCTGATATGAAAAAGACAATGTACAGTGTATGTCTCTGGTAGGAAAAAGATCAGACAATGAGTGTACAGTGTGTGTGTCTCTGATATGAAAAAGACAATGTACAGTGTGTGTCTCTGATATGAAAAAGACAGTGAATGTGGAGTGTGTGTGTTTCTGATATGAAAAAGACAATGTACAGCGTATGTCTCTGGTAGGAAAAAGATCAGACAATGAATGTACAGTGTGTGTGTCTCTGATATGAAAAAGACAATGTACAGTGTTTGTGTCTCAGTGTTTGTGAAAAAGATCAGACAATGAATGTACAGTGTCTGTCTCTGATATGAAAAAGACAATGTACAGTGTGTGTCTCTGGTATGAAAAAGACAATGAATGTACAGTGTTTGTGTCTCTGATATGAAAAAGACAGTGAATGTACAGTGTGTGTGTCTCTGATATGAAAAAGACAATGTACAATATATGTCTGCGGTAGGAAAAAGATCAGACAATGAATGTACAGTGTGTGTGTCTCTGGTATCAAAAAGATCAGACAATGAATGTACAGTGTTTGTGTCTCTGATATGGAAAAGACAATGTACAATGTATGTCTCATGTAGGAAAAAGATCAGACAATGAATGTACAGTGTATGTCTCTGATATGAAAAAGATCAAACAATGAATGTACAGTGTGTGTCTCTGGTATGAAAAAGATCAGACAATGAATGTACAGTGTGTGTGTCTCTGATATGAACAGACAATGTACAATATGTGTCTCTGGTATACAAACGACAATGTCCAGTGTGTGTCTTTGGTATGAAAAAGACAATGTACAATATTGTCGTACAGCTGCCCTGGTACTGCATGTGACGTCAAACAAATCCATACTCGTGGTATTGTCAAACTTCTTCGACTGACCCTGCTTTCAGCTGAAATGTTCTACGAAAGTGGAAAGGAAGTTACCGTTTCTATATAACATCTAGCAGTAAACAGTAGTACTGACTTCAGCGTTTATGTTATTTTGTATAAAGAGATAAAATGTTCTCCTGAATTTTTTTCAATTCTTTATTTCGCTATTTAAGTATCTCCTGATATGTACGTTTAAAATTCTTGATTTTGATCCATCAGAGGGCCAAACGTCTTTCGCAAATTACTTGGTCCAACATGAAGATAGGTACGATGCAGGTGGGGCAGCATTAAAGACATTGAAGATTATAGTATTATGTGGATACAAAAGAAACCATATCAGTCTTATCTTCAGTGCATGAAATATTAAACATGCTAAATGTCTACGTTTGTACTCTTGTTTAGATGACAAATCTATATTGCATTTAACTAGAGGCGGATACATAAAATACTATATAATTTATTAGGTAATTGTGTTAAATTCACCTGGGACACATACTGGAATGCTATATACCTTATAAGCTTCCACAACGGACCGACAGCTTGACCAATTCACAATGCTTATAGAAGGGATTTTAAACGTGACTTCCTGTCGATAATTGTAATATAATATTCATTATTCACAATACTTACTAGAACGCTTACAGACATACTGTAATGTAATTTGATTATCCCCAACACACTTCACGTCCATCAGTGTTACAGGTTGTTCATTTGTGACACGGTTACAAGATGTTTGACTTAAGACTGGAACAACCCTAACACGTATATCTGGCAAGGTCTCGGGCCATTTCAAAGATCCCCAGCACAATTGACAGCTAGCTTGACAAAACATGTGATGTTTAGTATGCATAACGCGCACATGCAAAGCAGCTTATGGAAGGTCAAAATTGTTCATTGATCAAGCAGAATTGGTTGTACTTATCAACTGTGACAAATCATTAATCGGGATTTGAGTCCATTTAAGTACACACCAAATAGTCAGTCGGGATGAGCTATCTTGAGTAGGAGAGTGAGCGTGCTTTGTTCTGTGTAGTAGCCAAATCTTGTTTTTGAGATATTTCATCAGCAAAGCCCTCGCATCGGACGATTTACTCTTGATCTGGTTCAGAGAAGTTCTTGTATTTTGTCTCAATCTTGTCGCTTTGTTCTTCATAATTTGGGTTGATAATTGGTTTGCAAGATGGGAACAAATCCCTGCCATAAAAAACTGGAACTTCCTACTGCTTTGTGAATCTTACATATTGCTGCATTAAGGTACACGAAATATCGGACTAAGAAGCCAGTCACGCCCGATAGCTCCAGAATAACATCCAGGCTCAAGCCGAGCTAATAAGCGATACATCGCTATCACATGAAAACATCATCAAACAAAACCTTGCGAAAGCGTCCTGATATGTAAACTTTCAACTATTACTAGCACCAAGCACTTGCTGCACAATAGAACAGTCAAGTGTACAGAATCTTACTTACTAACAGCTAGTCATGAGCTGTAGATTGACATTGATGTTATATTTTCAGCACCATGCTGGACATTTGAGATCATTGCACTGGATGTACATACGCTCATCCTTTACCCTTTGAGATGGCCTATTCTAGGCAGTTGATGTCGAACTGTAAGTTTACTTCCAAATAAACTTTTCTGGTGGTTATAACTGGAGTTAGTCTTTCATTATGTTTTTCTTGGTTCCTTAATACATATTAACAACTATGAAGGGTTGGGGTTGAGCACTCTCCACAGATAAATCTTCAAGATACATCCCCATCTTCCTACTCATCACACTAGTCCTCCTAGCATGCTCTACTATTCATCCTCTTCTTCCATTGTCGTGTGACCTTGCTTGTTCACTGTGGAAATTATGATAATCATTGCAAGTACAAGAACGTTATACTATTATATAAATATTTACTGTTTTACTTCCCGCCACGTCCACAAAGGCACCGGGTAACAAAATATACTAAACATCTCACTATTTCAGTCACTGCTGATTATCTTACAAACTAATTCTTAGATAACATGCTTCTGTACCTTGAATTTCTAACCCGTGAAGATCCGGATTAGAATTGATCTTCAGCAACCCATGCATGTCACAGGGTGGTCAAGGTGGGTGACTTGGTTGACACATATGACCGTATCCCAATTGCGTAGATCGATGCTCATGATGTTGATCACTGAATTTTCTGGTCCACACTCGATTATTTACATACCACCGCCATATGGCTGGAATATTGCTGAGTGTGGCATTAAACAAACAAACAAAACCTCGAATGACTGCATAAACAGATGTAAGTTTGATGAAAATTACTTAGTGAAGCAAATGGAAATATTAAAAATCTTATCTGTGCGTATTAATGACTGAATATAGGAAGGGCGTGCCGTGGGTGCCAATAGACTTGAACGACGGTCACAACGGCGTGCACAGGTAATGCTGACAAATCACCACGAAAAAATGGAATTCGGAACGTACAATTGAAGTGACTTCTGGAGATTGTTGGACTGCCAAAAGGATCTGAATGATACATTGGTTCCTCTGCGGACGCCGGCTTTCTCTTCTTCTGAAAGCTGTTGCAACAAAAACATTACTGATCAATATATATTATTGTAAAATATTAATAATACAAAGAAAAAAGAGTAGTAGAAGAAGAATCATAATATATCGACCCCCTTACTCTTAAGAAGAGTAAGAGAAAAAGAAGAAAGACAATATATTGATACCCTTACCCTCATACAAAGACTCATGTAAGACAATAGATCCCTCAATCGAATATATCTAGCAATTATAAAGAGAGGTCGGCTTAAGGGTCCTCGTGACAGAACGTTATTGTGTACACATTTATGAGGATTCTCTTATGAAACATGTCAAGGCTCCTGATGGAAACACGACATTCGACAGTTTCCTGAAACAGGCTAAAGATGCAGGGTATGATCACAATGTTAATGTTGATTTTGTCAATGGATCTTTACTGCTGGAGGTACAGAAGTATTTACATATTTATTCTCATGATGATAATGATAGTACACTTGTGAAGCTCCTTACGCAATGTATCTTCGATGCACTGCATCATTATCATTCAACAGACCAAATTGCATTGGATATTTTATTAGTTTCATCTCCTCTAGGAGTACGCAGTCGGAGATTCATTATTTTCTGTGTTCGAATCTGTTCTCAGTTTAACATATGCAAGTTTTCTAGCAGACTGGCGTGAGTTGCGGGTGTTTACATTTCTAGGAACATTCAGTTATTGATCTATTTTGAAGTTACTTACCAAAACCAATGTTTCCAATATGCAACGGAGCATCCTGTAAACGCTAGTAAAAGCACCACTAAAAGAAAGGTTCCTATTGAAATGGCAGCAACCGAATCATATCCGGACGTCCTTGTTAACTCTGTGAAAAAAGGAGGGAATGAATAACTGTATATTTAAAAGCATGTCAGTTTAAGTGATAGGAATGGAGTGGGGGTTACTATTGTCAAGGTGGAGTGTAAACTTCAAACAGACCCACCCGTGAAAATCCGGGTAAGAATTGGTCTTCATCAACCCATGCCTGTCGTAAGAGCTGACTAACGGGATCGGGTGGTCAGGCTCGCTGATTTGGTTAACACATGTCGTATCCCAATTGCGTATATCGATGCTCATGCTGTTGATCACTGGGTTGTCTGGTCCAGTCTAGATTATCTACAGACCGCCGCCATATAGCTGGAATATTGCTAACAGCGGCGTTAAACAACAAACAAACAAACCAGATCATACAGACCCTAGTCCGAAGGCCAGGGTGCCGTTGTACAAAGCGATCTTAGCGCTAAGGTGACCGTAACTCCCATACCTTAACATAGGCTTAAGGTAGCCTTAGCGCTAAGGTTGTTTTGTACAACGGCACCCAGGTTTGCATTGGTGATACTCAGACCAAATTTGGCCAACCGGGTCCCTTTTTATAAAGTCTTCACGTACTTGATGTAGCAATACTGAATATAAAACGTCAGTGCAAAAGAATGCCTAGCCTTGACTATCATAAGAAACAGATTCCTTTAAGCATTAAGCGACACATATCTGCAGATATTACATGAATGGACCACGGAAAATCATTATTGTCCCGAGGTGCTTACAAAAAGTGTAAGCATGTTTCCTGCCATACAGAGAGCCTCCGACTACAATTTGCCTTAAAATGTAAGGATTTACAGTCGTCATTAATCCTGCCGTGCTACAGCGGCCTGTACAACAAACCAGCAACATATCAATATGTCCTCAACAGCCTCGCATATGATCAGATTTGCTTCTGATAAAATGGTCTAATTAAGGGTATTATAACCTAGAACTTATTAAATACCTTACTGAAATTGGTAACTGCTTTTTATTATAGCTAAAATACATGGAATTATCATGAAACGGCCCTCCCATTATCAGAAATTTGCGGTCCGCTGCAAATGATATTGGACCGCTCAACCTTAACGACGGGCCACTATCAGTTCTGTTGTCAAGTGACGTCATAGTTCGACATTAATTGGCTTTCGACTGGCAGTTATTCTGGGTCAAACAAGTCAAAGCAACCCAAATTCCCGCTTTAAATAGCGGTAATATTGGCTTTCTTGTTGGTGCTAACCTTAACAATTGCACTATTAAGACTGTTGATGGACCAAAACCGAACACTGACATAGTTTGACATGTTACAGGCTATGGGCTTGTCAAAGGCCAAGGTCGAATATCGTCACTTTCTGTTGTGACGTCACTTGAATTGTTCGATGACGTAATTGCATTCGGGCAGTCAAGCCCGTCAGAAGTTTATTTGGGTAAACTTACAGTCCGATTCCTTCATTGTTTCCTTTTTCTTTTCAACACAAATTCCATGTATTTTAGCAATAATAACGGTAATGCTATTTTTGAGGGCATTATCATTTGCAGAAGCCCTCGGTCTTTTTCAACTGCCCTCCTTCGTCGGGCAGTTAATGGAAGACCTCGGGCTTCTGCAAATGATAATGCCCTCAAAAATAGCATTACCCTTATAATAAGGCGCATGAGTTATTCTACCTAGAAAAGTGGATGTTGGTGTTTTCACATCAGTAGTACTCCACACCTCAGACGTTGTCGACACCATCGTTGTCGATGGCATCTTCACGCCATCGCCTCCACACACTTTACAGGAAGTAGAGTCTTGGTCGCATGATATATTGCACCTGATCCCCCTCCACCCGCACAGACAGTCGTCACAGAAACCGGTCTCCTGCGAGCAGACCCCAGAGCTGCAGTTACCACAGGGATGGTTGCAGAAGTCTCCATGGAAACCAGCCTTACAGCCATGTTCACAATGTCCATTTTGAATATTACATTGAATACCTTTACAATTAGAAGGACATTCGTCTGTACAATAGTCGCCATATTTTCCCTCTTGACATGTGCAATGTCCATCCTCTTTGTCACAACCTCCGGGACAATCTTTCCGACATTGCAATGAACAGTCCTCGCCGTACCAGCCACTGTTGCAATTGATGCATGAATCCTTGTCGTCACAGTTGAAGCAGTTGGTAGGGCAAGCAGCGGAAAGGGTTTCTCGACCTGCAGAGACACATTATATGCGTAGAACGTACACCACCGCGACAGATAACAACTTTTGCGTTTTCAATGATGATGGTTTCTCAAACAACTTTATTGGTGGAGTCAGGACAATTTTCAAATATCAGAAAGCTGTCTGGTATTACTAATGATAAACATGTGTACTATTACATTTATATTTATGTGGCAATTTCGTACAATGATAAAATTTGCAATTCATCGGTCCGTTTCAGACTCAAACGGACTGTAAGTATGCTAACAATTCTATCTCACTCACATATTTACACACTCACACCCGTCACATGCCTTACACATGAACCTGGTGTCAAGAGTGGAGTTTTCAACTATACTGGGCATGACATTAAAATTATACCTAGTGTTCAACAACGGGGTTGAGTGAACAATACTGGACATATACACATACACCTGGTGTTCAAGAGTGGAGTTTTCAACTATACTGGACATGACATTAAAATTATACCTAATGATCAACAACGGGGTTGAGTGAACAATACTGGACATATACACATACTTATACCTGGTGTTCAAGGGGTGGAGTTACTTCATATACACATACAAGAGTGGACATCAACATACTATGACATTAAAATTATACCTAGTGTTCAACAACGGGGTTGAGTGAACAACCTGGTGTTCAAGAGTGGAGTTTTCAACTATACTGGACATGACATTACACTTATACCTAGTGATCAACAACGGGGTTGAGTGAACAATACTGGACATATACACATACACCTGGTGTTCAAGAGTGGAGTTTTCAACTATACTGGACATGTCTTTACACATATACGTGATGTTCAAGCGTTGAGCTTTCAACTGCATTGGACAAGACAATACTCATGTAGCTGTTGATAATGTGCCTGGTTGAATAGACAATATTGGACATGACGTTATTCAGACAGACAGGCAGATTTTATTCAATAAAAGGCCTTGGGCCCATGATACATACTTTCTTGGTGATATCATATAATACCTGAGTGAGAATACAGAAGCTGAGCAGGCACAGGTATGAAAATTTGTAGTACATAATTTATATAAACAACAAATTGCATTTATAAATTGTTGGTTTTAAATGATGAGCCTTCCTGTGTACCAGTGATAACTAAAGGGCTAAGTGCTTTGGGTTTATAGTGTTGGGTCTCAGTTTCCATACTTTATATGAATACAGACATTTGCTATGCGGGATAGAGACATTACAGTGTACCAGCAATAACTGCAAGGCTAATTACTGGCGGGTTAGTAGTGTTGGCTCTCAGTTTCCATACTTTATATGATTACAGACGTGTACTATGCAGGGTAGAGACATTACAGTGTACCAGCAATAACTGCAAGGCTAAGTACTCGAGGGTTAGTAGTGCTGGTTCTCTATGTCCATACTCTATATAAATACAGACGTATACTTTGCAAGGTAGAAACATTGCGTGACGTCAGTAAATTCACCATATCTTGGGATACAAAGTGTATGGAAGCTCATCTTCAATAAAATACGTTTTCTTAAATTTACAAAATAAGCAAACCCTATCTTAAATTCTGTCTTATTGTATTTACCGGTTTCGATAGCAAGACCGTATTTTGGCATGTAAATCTAGCCATTGAAGATCTTAAGTAGTAAGGAATATCACCTGACAAATATGATTCTACGTTTTAAAATGATTTGAACTGTGTTACACTTGGAGGAGGTGTTTAAGCTTGAAATCCATGACTGTTGCAAATTATCTGATAATCTTTGTCTGAATAATGAGATGAAAGAATTTATGCAACTAACCTCCTTGGAAACCCAGACAAAAACAAAACCAAGTCTAAATCAGGTATCTCGGATATGTGTGACCCAAGTAGTACGGCCTACATTATCAAGGGACATAAGCATCTGATAACACTGGTTTATAACCTGCTAGGAGGTAGAGTAATGAGTCGACACCAGTATTTAACTGCCCTGGTCAGGTATACCACCTGTAGAGGCAAACGCCCACATATTATCTGATGTAGATATACCAACTCTAAGAATCCACTGACAGAATTTCAACTGTGCTCTTTTTACTTCTTAACTACAGCATACACCCCATAGTTCTGAGCCATAACACACGATTGGCACGACCATACTGTCAAATATCTTTAGTAAATCCTTACATGGCAACCCTCTTAGAATACCCGTAAATTCACATCATAGCTTTGTTTGCCTGTGAGCGAAAACAAAATTGTGCCTTGCTCCAAGATAATTTTGGAGTGAAAACAAGTCCTAAATATCTATATGAGGAAACAACATCTATTCGTTTTCTTTGAAATACCATTTTTCATATTACTGAAGTGGACAACCATTGCGGAATACCATAATTTTAGTTTTATCCAAATTTATCTTCATTCCAGTTTGATCACAGAATGTTTCCAAAGCATAGATCTTACCCTGCAATTCTAGGCAAGAGCTGGCTACTGAAGACACATCATCAGCAAACATGAGAAGACATAGGTTATCAAATGTTTTGGAAATAAACACACCTCTACCGCCGCATTCTTGCATTATATTTTCTAGTTTGTTTATAAAGATCATGAATATCTGTGGACTCAGAATACAGCCCCGACTGGTGCCGATATTACAACTGAAATACTCGGAAATACCATCTGACATTCTCAGACATGCACAAAACTTTGAATACATTGACAAGATTATTTGGAGTATACCAACCAACCAATACCGACTTCGGAAAGACTGTTCAGTACATCATGTCTTATTGAATAAAACTCTTTGATCATCTGCCTGGTTGAATAGACTATCTTCGACATGACCTTACGCATATCCCTGGTGATTAACAGCTGGCTTGAAACAAATGGACATATCGCTGCATAAACGCGGGATTGTTACGGTAGTTTGAAATGGTGCATGTCTTGTACATAATCCTGAATACGTGTGGTAGTTACATGGGCGATCATATGGTGACAGGATAGTCGTAGACTCTGACCAACACGTTAAACGGCGATACTGCACTTGGGGTTCACTGCAGAAACCCGCATACAGCCGCGTTGAGATATTCCCTGTACACGTTACTCATAGTATGCCCTTACTATGCGTGACTACACCAAGCACATGAACACATCGTAATGTCACTGTATAAATAGGTATAACGACTAACTGTATAAATAGGTATAACGACTAACTGTATAACAGGTATACATAGGTATAACGACTAACTGTATAAACAGGTAAACGCAGCCACTGCGGAGAGCAGTTGTTAAAGAATGTATACAAAGTATGTTAGAAAGGCGTAAACAAAGATTACCCTGTGACACAAGTGTCAGCAGTAACACAGCCACATTTGATAATTCCGAGGGCGTCATCTTGGCAGTGCGCCAAATGCAGGTAACAGGTGCAGGCAACAACAGGTTGAACGCGTCTTGTTGCTTATGTAGGTCATATCACTTAATGGTGGTCCTTATGCTGTTTCACGCCTGCATATCCGTTCACCAATTCATGTTGTTTAGGCACACCCTTGCCTATCTCCTTAATCCTTGTATTTTTATTTCTGATGGACGTCGATCAAATTCGCACATGTTAGTATGCAGTGTTGCACATTGCACTTGAGACATAGCTTTACCCAGCACATTAGTCTGTTGTTAATAATAGCGTGTAGCCCATACAGGTGAAATGTTCGCGTGTCTCACTGAGAGGAGTAGCTCCAGTGACATTGTCTTGTAAGGTATTTCGCATGAGTGATGTTCGTACTGGGGAAGCCCTGTCCGCTTCAATAATCTGCTCTGTCCCCTTCTCTAATCTGCACTGCACCCATCTCATCCACTGATCTGCCCTGCCCAGCCGAGCCCTGTCCCTCCACTAATGTGCTGACTTCATCCACTGATCTCTCTTGCCCTGTCCCTCCACTAATGTGTCTGACCTGATTCACTGATCTGCCCTGCCATGTCCCTCCACTAATGTCCCTAACCTCATCCACTGATCTGCCCTGCCCTGTCCTGCCATGCCCCTCCACTAATGTGCTGACCTCATTCACTGATCTGCCCTGCCCCTCCACTAATGTGCTGACCTCATCCATTGATCTACCCTGCCCTGCCCCTCCACTAACGTGCCTGACCTCATTCACTGATCTGCCCTGCCATGCCCCTCCACTAACGTGCCTGACCTCATTCACTGATCTGCCCTGCCATGCCCCTCCACTAATGTACCTGACTTCATCCACTGATCTGCCCTGCCCTGCCCCTCCACTAATGTGCTGACCTCATCCATTGATCTACCCTGCCCTGCCCCTCCACTAACGTGCCTGACCTCATTCACTGATCTGCCCTGCCATGCCCCTCCACTAATGTGCTGACCTCATCCACTGATCTGCCCTGCCCTGCCACGCCCCTCTACTAATGTGCCTGACCTCATCCACTTATCTGTCTTGCCCCTCCACTATTTTTTTTCTTATTTGGCTTAATGGGTGGTGGGTTAGCTTAGTGGTTAAAGCTTCGCTCGTTTCGCCGAAGATCCAGGTTTGATTCCTCACATGGGTGCAATGTGTGAAGCCCATTTCAGGTAAAGAAGCCCATATTGCTAAAAGCGGTGTAAAGCAAAACTCACTCACTCACTTATTTGGCTTAAGAAAAAATTCCTTTGTTTCCGCTGTTAAGCACATTCTTTGTGCTCTAAACGCTTTAAAACAATATTTTCGCTCATTATGCTGACAAAAACACAATTTATGTGGATGTCATATGTATCAAGGGTTCCGAACTGTCGTACCTCTATAGTTTATAATAGGCATACGAATGTCGTAGCGTTACGAACGCTTTGTGGATCGGACCCCTCGCGAATTATGTGAAGTGTGAATGGATGCTTTTGTGTTCACGATTTCGTACGGGTTGCACATATGGACACTAGTGAATCGTTGAAACGGTGTGCTTCTCTTTCAAACTCGAGGAGCAGGTAGGGCAAAGATTTGACTGACACTGTCTGATCTTATCAAAGTATAATGTGCGTGTATGGTTCTGTGTGTTGG